AACCCATGCTTGCACCTTTCCCTTTTGTTATTCACCCATTATTCCAGAAAATCACTCATTCTTTGTCCATGCCGTGGGATCCCTTCTCCTTTCCAGATTTGTTCAAAGCATTTTCTGGTGGTCTAATTCACCTTTGCAGGTTCCACTCAATTGTTGCAGCAAGGGCACATGCATTTTGATTAAACAAACCACATCTTTGCAGACCTTGTCCATGCCATGTGCCCACTACCTCAGAAAACCATCATTCCATCTGACTTGTGCATGAGATCCAATCTGAATGTTGGGGACAGATTCATTCCTATTAAACTAAGCATACTTCACTCTTCAAAGGGGTTCCGCAAGTTTTATTCTTCATTCAGTCCATATACACAGAGATAGCCACTCCATTTCCCCTCCATTCTCTGCCCATTTCACTCCATTCTATGTCCATTTATGTGCTAAGGGCAGAAACCATCCAAACCAAACCAATCTACTTCATCCGCACCACATTTGGAGAAGCAACACCAAGGAACTCTTCAAGGACTTCAACATCAATTTTGCTTCAAGGGTTCATTCTTATCAATCTTATGTTCATTCATGTTTTATACTTTTATATCAAATCTTTTGTAAACATGAATTGTAACTAAGCTTCCTCTAGGGATTCGATGTAACCTTGCAAAGTTTGCCATGTAATTAAGTTAGAATGCTCAGTTTGTCCATCTATTTCTTGTTTCATTCTCTGATTTAATGGTGACTTAGTGTGTTGATTTTAATGTTTGATCATCATTTGAATTAATCACAAAGTTGTGTAGCCAAGATTAAAACACACATCATGCATAATCTTGGTAGATATGTGAATGAATGAAGGGAATGTTTAGCACACATCCTGCCAAGTTAATCCCTTTAGTTTTATGAAAGTTTCTTGTGCATTACATACTCTTGATTATGAACCAAAGTTGCACATCACAATTAGGTTCATGATTAGAGACATTTGATCAAATCCACACATCATATGGTTGATCATGTCCAAGTGAAACAAACTCAAGAAATAGGTAGATGAATGAGTACAAACTAACTTAACAAACATGGATTTAGTTGAGCAATGGTGAAATCGAATCCCTAGCTTCATTTCCATTGATACTATCCCATTATATTAGTTGTTGATTCATTGATTTGTGTTTACTTCATTTTCTTATGCTTTCAAGTTACAATTTCCAAATCTGCCTATTTAGACTAGTTTGATTCAATAACAAATCTGCATAGTTTGAATTAGTTTGATTCATTTCTTAATATGCCTAGTTTGACTAGTTTGATTCATTTCTTAGAGTTCTAGCAAAACAAGTAATTACATAGGTCCAATTAGTCCCTGTGGATTCGACACCCTTGCTTGTGCCATTATACTAAATATATTCTAGCATTAGGAAGGAAATATACATCAACACCGAGCCCCTCTGGATTATCTTCTTCGTTAACATGACCATCAAGCTCAAATGCGAGCTCCTCGCCAACAACTTCAAGACCATCGACGACCGTGGCTACAATGTCCACGTCACCGGTGGCAGATACACCACCTGTGGACCGTTTCTCCTTCCTTTCTCACCTCCCTGCAATCTCACTCCCTCTCTCTCTCTCTTGATAGTCAACGTGCATTGTCTTCCCTCACATAGGCGAAGAAGTTGAGGGGTCGGGATTCCTGGGATTAGGACTCCAGGGGCTTGAGGGATTTAGGGTCGAAGGAGAGGACGCCATGGCCTTAGCGGAGGGAGGTGGAGACGTCAAGGAAGGTGGCAGTTTCGCCAAAAAAAAAAAAAAAAAAAAAAACCAAGGACTTATGGACCCAGCCTGAACCTGCCTGTTTTAAATAGGCCGAGTTAGGTTTGGTTCCTGTATTAAAATTTGTTGTACCCGTTTCTTTTAATCCGGGTCCAGTCCGGTTCCTTCAAAATTAGGCCCGGCCCAGCCCGTGCCCAGCCTTGGTATAATTTCTGAATTATTGATTGTATGCTATCGGTTATGGAAATTGATGTGATATTCATTTATTATTATGTAGTTTCACTATATATGTTTTTACAAAACGGGGGTTAGTATGTTGAAAATGATTTTGACTTGATAATTAAAATTGGTCCACTCACACTTTGTTTTGCGCCCCCTCAAGTCCTAGCAAGTGCAAGGCGTACGTTGAGAAAGGTGAGTGAGCGTGGAGGTAGTGGAATTACTGCATGTGGGTAATTTCACCTTTGCTAGCCTCTATCATGTTGTAATCAATTGTAAACTTACTTTTGATTATATATAGCATAACACATACTTTTGTGGTTTACTGTTGTATGCAATACTGTTGCTTTGATGATGTGATATCAATTACAATTGGAATTAGTTTTAGATTATGTCCCCAAGTGGGGAGGTTGTGCAAGGAACCTAGTTGATAGGTTAAATAAATAACAAATGAGCCTTTCAGTTCGAAATATTTCACATCGCATATTTTGTCACCCTTATGGTGAGGTTTTATCATCTATTTAGTGTCAGCCAGCACATTTCCACCCTTAGTTGGAAGGTTATTCAACTCGGGGTGTGTCATCTACTAAGCAACAAGGGCATGGCATCATTGAAAGGTGACTCCTCCTCCATCTCAAGCACATAGAAATCGGTAGAAAAAATGAATTCTCCAACTTGCACTAAAACATTTTCCAACAAGTCTTTAGGATAGACATTAGAACGACCAACAAGTTGGATAATAATACCATCATATTTAAGGTCTCCTAAACTTAAAGCTGCATAAATACTATATGGCATAACATGGATAGAAGAACCTAAATCTAACATAGCGCATTCAAACCTTGTTTTTCGAAGGGTACACGGAATAGTAAAACTACCTGGATCGTTGCATTTAAGTGGTAGTTTCCTTTGAAGAGCGGCGGACACATTCTCACTTACATTAACAGTCTCACCTTGTTGACGCTTTCTCTTTGTAATGCAAAGATCTTTCAAGAACTTTGCATATGTTGGAACTTGCTTGATGGCATCACGGAGAGGGATGTTCACTTAAACTTTGCGAACTATATCCATAATGAACTTCTCATGTTCCTCCTTTGATTTTGCAAACTTGTGAGGAAAAGGAACACTAGGAACATTAGTAGAAATCGGAATTTCACTATATACATTTGAATTGAAAGGCATTGGTTGCACGGTTTGAGAACTAGGGAAGCCTTGTTCATTGCTTGCTATAGCCTTGTCCTCCTCCAATAACCCTGCTTTCTTAGTCATAAGAGGCTCTTCCAAAGCTTTCTTACCAAACCTTAGTGTCAGAGATTTTGTTTGCTCAAATCCACTTTTTGGATTTGGGAGAGGTTGGCTTGGTAACACTCCTCATATTTTCAATGTAGGACATTCAACTTCCTCTAGAGCAAAAAGTGATCAAATGGATGAAATTTGGAGTGATTCTAATTGGAGGATGTTCGTGAGTCTTTCAGGATGATTGTATCAAAATTCCAGATTTTTCTACCAAGTCGTTTAACTGTGGTAATGAAATAAAGAAACAGCGTGCAGTCTTGTCAAACTGATGTTTTGGGCTTATTTGAGCTTTTTGGCATCCAAGATGATGTCTTTTGGGTTCGAGACCTTCTACAATTATATTCGGGACATCTCAAGCATTAATTCAAGTCATTTTAGGCTTGTTTTGGAGCCTTCGAAGTCCAAAAACGTGGCTGATTTGTGGCTGGGTAGATTTCCCATATTTGATTAGGATTATGTTTCCTAATTTATTTTAATTTATTTGGTTTCCTAGTATTGTTCTAAGACCTTTTCTAGGTAGGGTTTAATTTTCTAGTAGTATAAATAAGGCTTTTTAGCCATTAGGGAGAGGGAGGATCAATTTGGAGAATTTAGCTAGGCTTTGACGTTTTGTATTTTAAGGTGTTTTCTATCCTTTTTCTATTTCAATAAAATTCCTTTTGTTTTATGGTTGTTCGTAACTAATTGCCATTTGCTAGGGTGATGCCTTGAGCCTTAGCATGAATATGTGGTCTTTATTTAATTACTTAAGACATTATACATGCATGCTTTGAATTATTAATCACCATGTTTAAACTGTCTCTATATCTTAATGCTTAGCTACCATTAGGATGTTTAGATAAGTAATCAGATGCAATTTGGTCGGAATACCATTGGGGGATTGAGTATTGCTTCTTGTGATTGATAGTTGTAATTTCACTTTGGGAGAATACTACGTCAGTAGGGTTGCATGGTTTTTCATAGGGTTTTCACAAAGCATAATGAGTCATGCATGTTTATATTTGATCTGAATACCACAGATGGATTGCATGTTTGATATACGTTCTAACTTGAATACCACGAGTAGAATATGCATTAGGAAAGCCTAACCTTCAAAGTTGCATGTGTAATTCTTAAGTAATTGATAAATCTACATAGGATTGTTATGGGAATGGCGGAACCCTAAGCTTTTATAATTTGGTTTTCAAAATGTTTTCTTTTATTTTCTTTACTTTGTTAATTTCCTTAATTGTTTTAATTTAAAATTCGTTTTAATATTCTAGGTCATAAAATCAACATTTTCCAATCTTTGTTTTCAAATAATTAACTAAGATTTTGGTTTTGCACATATTATTTAATCAATCCCTGTGAAAAACGACCTTACTTGAGCCGCTATACTACAATAACCTTGTACTCTTACAAGTATTTTTAAGTGTTTTTATCCCTACTTTTGCAGGTGGTAAAAATCCTATCAGTTGTCCTCGGAAGTTGCCACCTAAAGCATGTACTTGTTCCGAACGTTCCTTGATCTGTCAAGCTTGGACATGCATCCGTTGTATGCCCCCTCATTCACCTTGTGAGAACTTTGGCTCTTTGTTCCGAATTGTTGAGTTTGAGCGGCCATGGTGGCAATCAAAGTCCTTGCTTGTGCAGGCGTCTTGTCAATTAGAGCTCCTTCAGCAGCGGAATCAAGCATAGCTCTATCATTAGGACACAATCCTTCATAGAAGTATTGCACAAGAGAAAAATCTGTGAATTGGTGTTGAGGGCATGCGGTACATAGCTTCTTGTAACACTCCCAATATTTGCATAATAGCTCCCCATGTTGTTGTTGAATGCCATATATTGCTTTTCCCAAAGTTGCAGCCTTTGAAGTAGTAAATACTTCTCCAAAAACTAGTGTTGCATTTCATCCCATGTTGTGGTTGATCCTGGCGGAAGATCATATAGCCACTCTCTTGCTCCATCAGCTAATGAGAAAGGACATGTTTTTAACTTGATTCTCTTCACTCACGCCTTCTGGCTTCATCCCTAAGCACACCATATGAAATCCCTTGAGATGTGTATGAGGATCCTCTCCTGCAAAACCATGAAATATGGGAAGGTAATGGAGTATTCCAGACTTGAGCTCAAAACGTCCATTAGTTGGATAGGTGATGCATAATGGTGTGGCAGGTCCAATAGTTGCCACGAGCTACCTCATGGAGAGGTTGACATTGGCTGCCATTTCTTGTTCCTCCTTCTCTCCACTAGAGCTTGAAACTGGATGTGAAGGTGTTAGAGAAGGGCACACTGTTTGTTCAAAATGAATTGGGTTCTTGAGTCGTTCAAGGCGCTCTGCTATGCTAGTTAAACGATCAAAGCCTTGGGAGATGAACCCGTGTCTAAAAATATTCAAAGAAAAATTAAAGTATTAGTTTAAAGAAAAAATAAAACAAAAAATTAATCACACTAATTTTCATTAACAATTAGGGAAAACAATCCTCAGCGACAAGGCACCAAAATTGGTTTGCCTAAAATAAACAAGCAATTAACCTTGCACTATTAAGTCATTATTTAGTATAGATTGAAGCAAGGGTCTATTCTACAGAGGATTGTTGTAAACTATTAATCGAATACACGAAAATGTTCAAAAGAAAACCTTAGAATGAAAGAATATAAAATCAAGACAGCAATTATAATGAAAGTGTGACAAGGCGGGGTTTTGAATGTTTAGATGAAATTATAAAGAGATGCAACTAAGGACATGTTAAGACCATTAACACGAAAAAGGGTCTAAGACAATACTAGGGTTACAAGTACTCACGGAGTCTTGTTGAACCTAGAGTTTGTTGCACATGTTAAGATCATTAACAGTTGCTACTTAGTGTACACATGCATGACAATTACGGATTACAAATATGATACTAACATTAGGGTCCTAGCATGCTTATATAGTTGGCCACCTAAACAAACAAACTAAAAATCATGTTATTTAGCTCAGTGAAAAGAAAAAAATAGTTCAATCAAGGATCATAAGGAATATAAACTGAATGTTATTAAATATAATTTAACATGTTCGGGGCTTCAAAATTGCCCCTAGTACAGAAAATGAGCTAGACATAGCACCTAGCATTTTGAACTGAAAATAAAGAAGAAAAACTACAACACCATCAATTTGTGTCTCTCTCAATCACTATCTCTATGTCTATTCTATTTGTATATTCCTACACATGAGACTCCTTTCTTGTTGCAGCGCCTCTCCTTTAGGAGAAAAGAAAATCAAGTTGGGTAGAAGTGAGTCCAAAATGGAAGATTGCAAAACCTCAAGTTAAACATGGCGGCTTCAATGTATGAAGTTGGACATTTTGCGTTCTTTCGTTTGGCCTTGCACCACATGTCATTTCTTATCACATCTTGTCATCAAAGCTGGAAGTACAGCCAATACAAAGTAATTGGGCAGTAGCTAGAATAAACTTGGCAACTGCAACTAGTACAACTTGTAGTAGATGAGTGAATTGGTTTCTTTATTTCTTTTACTTTTGTCATTTATTGTCTCCCACATGAATAATTTCCTCCTCCTTTCTTCATTTGATCCACAAAGGCTGCAGCTCTCAACTTGTCTTCCATTCATAGCAGCAAAGAGTCCAACTCATGTTTTAGAGGACAGCTGCTAAAGTTACTTTAGACATGTGTCAGTATTTTAGTCACTCATACCGCTTCATTAAATAGATTATCCACAAATTTGGATATGTTAATGTCGACACAATTTGGAGTAACCTTCATGAAGAAGTCATTTTCATTTGAGAACTTTATGTTGCCATTTTTAGACTTTACAACCTATGAACTGCAAATTTGAACAACTGTCAGTGCGGGATGAGCTGGGGATGATATAGAGCTTTGATTGATGCCAATTTTGGATATGTTGTATTAGACACAATTTGCAACAACGTTGATGAATATATCATCTAGATCCAAGCATTATACATTAATGGACTGATAAACAAGAACTGCTAATTCCAGCATGCTGCCACAACTTGCTTATGTATCAATACCCTCATATTTGTAGCGTAAGGACTTCATATAGACTCCAAAATCCCCATCCCTAGTGCAGTCCACATATGCCATCCAATCCAAATCCAAAGTAGCTCATTTCTACTCAATTTAACCTTCTTTGGTCACTTTTGGCAATTGGACATGAAATCAAACGAAAAATTAATACCATAAAACATTAAAACAAATGGAAATTAACTAAATAAACTAGAGAACTAAGATAACAAAGTTACAGAAATATGTTCCTATTAGTCAAGCCCTTTCAGAGGCTAAGACTGCTGGTAGGAAAGGCGAAGGCCCTTTCCAAGGCTGAGAATGCTGGTGAGAAAGGCAATCCAGATCATTTCCAAGACTAGGGCTGCAGTGGAAAGGGTGATCCGGACCATTTTCGAGGCCGAGGCTGTCGTGGGAAAAGGCAGTCGCGATGTAGAGGACATGTTTGTTAATGACGTGGGTATGCATACTGGCGTTTCCCATGTAGGTTTTGTACACGCCTTGGTTGCGGCGGGAAATGAAGGTGGTTGCCTTTTCCGTAGTTAGCATTGCAGGAGGATTAGTGACGACTTGCTTTCTTACGGATTGTGTATGCGTGTGTGATCAGTTCTAGACGTGCTGACTTGTTCCGGATAAATGTTGGCATGTTTTTTATTGTCATACTCTGCATGCATGAGTCAGGTTGCTTTCTAGCGTGAATTTTCCATATCCTTCCTTTATGATTTTCTTCTTCTCTACTTCCTTTTGCATGATTAATGATTTTCCTTTGCAGGTGGTATAAAATTGTTATGTGAATATATTTTGTATTACATAACTGAAGTTGTACACAGGTATGAATTTATACAAGAATTGTGATGCTACTCTAGGTAAACGGAAACTAATTCTATGCTATTACAATCATCTCCTACAATCGCTCCAAGATGGACTATTGTATCCTACAATCGCTCCAAGATGGATTATTGTATCCTACAATCACTCCAAATCATATCAGATAGTTGACTATTTTATTTCCTTTAACACTCCCCCTCAAGTTGAAGTGTGGATGTCAATGACACCCAACTTGCTAAGATGCGAGTGGAAGGCGGGTGCTCTTAGCAGCTTCGTAAATATGTTAGCTATCTGACTCCCCCTTTGCACATGAGTGGTCTTGACTTCTCCCCTTTGAATCCTTTCATGGACTGTGTGACAATCTATTTTATGTGTTTGGTCCGTTCATGATACACGGGATTTGCTGCAATATGTAGGGCAACTTGATTGTCATAAAACAATCTTGCTGGCTCAAGGTGATGTACACGCAAATCTTTCAATAAGTACCTTAGCCAAGTAAGCTCATAAGTGGTTGTAGCCATGGAGCGATATTCGGCTTCCGCCGAAGATCGTGCGACTGTGACTTGCTTTTTACTTTTCCATGATACAAGTGACTTACCAAGAAAAATGCAAAAGCTTGTCACTGATCAGAATGTGATCGGACATCTAGCCCAATCCATATCATAATAGCCAATCAAATTGAGTTAGTTTTCTGAAGAAAACAATAGACCTTGTCCTGGTGCTTCCTTCAGGTATTGGAGAAGACGATCTGCTGCGTTAAGATGATGAAGCTTTGGTTCTTGCATGAACTGGCTAAGAGTGTTCATTGCATACATAATCTCTGGCCTTGTAATTGTAAGATAGATCAATTTCCCAATCAAACGTCGATATCGAGTTGGGTGCTTGAGAGCATCACTTTTTGTCGTTGTCAATACCAAAGCAAATTCCATAGGTACTTTGGCAGGTTTTACTCCGAGCAAATCGGCTTCCTCTAATATATCCAGGGTATATTTACGTTGACAAATGGAAACCCAGCTTTGGAACATGTAACTTCTACACCAAGAACGTATTTTAATGGTCCGAGATCTTTAATTTGGAAACAACCACTGAGAAACTTCTTGAGGTTACTAATGGCTTCCTCATCATTCCCTGTAATGATGATGTCATCAACGTAAAGCAACACCATAGTAATAGAGTTTTCACAAACCTAAGTAAACAACGAGTAATCTGCACGTGATTGTTGGAAGCTAATTTCTTGAATGGCAGATAAGAATCGTTGGAACCAGCTATGAGAGGCCTGTTTGAATCCATATAAGGACTTGTGGAGTCGGCAAACCATGGTCTCCCCTTGTCGACGATAACCAGGAGTGTCACATCCCGGCCTGGGCCCCCACCACATCCCGGGCTCGACTCCACCGTAGCACGATATTGTCCGTTTTAGGCCCTGACCACGCCTTCACAGTTTTGTTTCTGGGAACTCATATGAGAACTTCTAGTGGGTCACCCATCATAGGATTGCTCTCGCATGAACTCGCTTAACTTTGGAGTTCCGATGGAACCCAAAGCCAATGAACTCCCAAAAGGCCTCATGTTAGGTAGAGATGGTAATATACATATAAGGCTTACAAGATCCACTCCCCTAGGTGATGTGGGATGTTACAATCCACCCCCCTTAGGGGCCCAACGTCCTCATCGGCATACATTTGGCCATGGATTAGCTCAGATACCAAATTGTCACATCCTGGCCCGGGCCCCCACCACATCCCGGGCTCGACTCCATCGTAACACCATATTGTCCACTTTGGGCCCCGACCACGCCCTTACGGTTTTGTTTCTGGGAACTCACACGAGAACTTCTTAATGGGTCACCCATCATGGGATTGCTTTCGCGCGAACTCGCTTAACTTTGGAGTTCTGATGGAACCCAAAGCCAATGAGCTCCCAAAAGGCCTTATGCTAGGTAAAGATGGGAATATATGTATAAGACTTACAAGATCCACTCTCCTGGGCGATGTGGGATGTTACAAT